TTCAAAACTTTGGACCATGAAGACCTTGAGTAGGTTGGTAAAGACCTTTTTTGCTTTACTTTCTGTGTTAACAATGAAATTGATCATGCCTTTACCAGCGCGTGCATTTTGAATAAAATCTTCAGATTCCTTTCCGGTTTCAGTATTGTATAGCTTACTGCCTTCGATAACACAGATTTCATAGGGCTTCGTATTGGAAGTATACGCAATTCCGTCTAATCTGTCAGCATGTCCACTTTGACTTGTAATCAGTTTTCGATATGATGCTTTAATAGCCCTACTTCCACTAAAAGATTTATGAGCAATTTTTATCTTACTATAAAAAAAACATATATATATATATATACACTTACGGCCTATATGTAATTTTAGAGAATCTTGCTAATGCCTTTTTTAACATTGGGTGAGTATATATTGTCATGTACTCGTCTTCACTTAGATCTCGATTTTTTAATGGATTATCCGGCTCCATATATGAATCAATGCTTAAAAAAAATATATTAAACTTTGATTAGGCTAAAAGAATATTACAGCGCTTTTCAAATTACTGTGATCATCAAATTATTACCTTTTATTCGCAAAGAAAAGTTATCAATTTGAGGAGTTTTGAAAATTTCATGTGGTGTCGAATCACAATAATTTGAAAAGCACGATAATGCCTATACTTACAATATTGGAAGAACTTCAAGCATAAATCTTTTCATATTTTTTATGAATGGATCAGGTTCATAATCCAGTAGATTTTCAATTTCATTTTGCCACTGTTCATTCGTTAGATTCTATTAACAAAAGAGCAATAATTAAAATGCAAAAAATTAAAAAAAAATTAAAAAAAACAGACATACAGTATCTTTGGAAAAAATGACATAAGTAAGTAAAGGCTTTTTCAGGGAAAAGATCATCGATTGGACCAGATATATTCGTACCGTATTTTCGCGAAATAACGGGCATGGGCGTTATTTCGAAAATTGGACTTCTTAAAAATAGCATATATGGCTTCAAAA